CTCTAGCCGCTTTGGAGGCCCCCCGCCAAAGAAATGTTGGAATGTCCTTTGGTTTGGAGGATCCTTTGTAACGTCTTCCCTTAAAACCACTGGAATCGTAGTATGAAGGGTCATCCTTTGAGATATATTCAGTACTACCGGTGATGGGGTTAATAACTTCAATGTCATCTGTTTCAAGTCCAGCTTCCCGCATCAATTGCTCAAATTCCTCTTCACCCCCAACAGATCCTTGAGCGATTGCTTTCTTCGAAGAAACCAAATCTTCGATTGTCTGAGCGTCCATCTTCTTCGGGTCTGGAGGTGCATCAAGGCTGAGACTTTCGTATAAACCTTCCCTAATGGCCTTATACCTACCTTTCAAAGGATAAACAATGGTCCATCCGCGAACGACTTGGACAGATTCGTTGAAATCCTTCTCCATGAGATCTTTCAATGATGCTACAAGAAATTCATTTCTCCAAATGAAACCTGGTTGCGTGGCATATCCTAGAAAGATACCTGGATTCGAAGTAGGATCAAAACGCAGATCTTTCTTGGGTTTCAACTTTGGTCCCGTCCAGTAATCAATGCGAGCCCCAAAAGGAATGTTGGGTCCTTTGAACTTTTCCCCAAAACGAAGTTCCCAGGGGGATTTGATTTCGGGGTGATCCTGGATGTTGTGTGCCATACACCAATGCCGTGAGGCGTAGCTCCAGTAGGAGTGATGAAGTCCCGCCTGTTCAAGATTCACTCTAGTCCCTTCGAGTACGGACCTGAGATTCCTCTCGGCGACTGCATTAGACTTAGAAACATAAGCCACACTCGTGTTCTGTCTCCATCCAACTTCCCGACACGCGAGTTTGATGGATGGTGCAGCGTCAGGGTAGAACACACGAAACCTCTTCACCGGGTGCAACAAAATGCCTAAAAGCTAAAACACAGTCTTTGGCATGACTTCTGGCAGAAGGATAAATCCATCGAAAATTGGTGGCAACATCTTTCATGACCATGGCAACCCTGTCACCATCAATGGATTGTTCGTTGGAATCCCTAGTCACAAGATGGTCCCCAGTGATGTGTTGTGGTTGGTTTGTACATTTTAGCACATTTGCAAGTTTCGCAGAATGGGTTCTTTGGGGTATGTGTCATCATGTGCCTAAGTGTCCTGGCCTCTTCCCTCAGTGCAGCTTCACCACGATCAAGAGCTTTAGGTTGCCGACCGTCGACTGGTTCTTCAGGAGCTTCGGCCTCATCCTCCGAGCCCTCATTGACATCGGGTGTCATAGCCGCCGGAGGTCCTGGCGCAAGTTCACCAGGGAAGAACTCCTCGAGGCTGTCGTCGGCGTGCCCAAGGATTTCGTCATCATCGGCGATGGACGCCTCGTAAGGCTCTTCCACCTCCTCGACTTCGTTGTCAGACTCAGTTCCAACTGCCGACATTCGAGACCTTCGAACAGGTGAGATGATGGGCTTGCCGTTCCCGGCAGCGGAGTTCCATGAAAACGGAATCCCTACTGCAGCGGGTACCTGGCCATCTCTGGATGGTAAATATGGAACATAATCTTTCACTTCAAGTTTGATTTTGGTTCCATCACGTTTCTTAAAGTATGGACGGCTAAAGCTTTTCCAAACAAAATCCCATCCATCTTGAATGCATCTCATCCCTACCGATATTACAGCCGGGGTATCAGGAAGAACATATGGTTGAACTTCTTTGTCGATGCAATCGATGTGAACAGAAGCTTGTTGGTCAGCTGATTGAGATCCATTAGCTGTGATTAATTCAAGGGGTTCATGAGAATGATACACTAAGTCTTCGGGAATCATTTTACTGCAAACCAAGTCCTGAGCACTACCAGTGTCTGCAATCCATGCTATCTCAGCGGATGCATTACGCTGCTGGGACGGCATGTGTCCTGGCAGGGCATTCAGGTCGGAACGAATGCAATGGCGACAGCCGATATCACTGTCACATGCGAAGTTGCATTTGCAAGGTTTCCCATGCAACTCCCGGAAGACAGCTGACTGCAACATCTGTGCAGCAAGTACGGCATCACTCTCACGTGATTCGATAGTCTCTTTGCGACTACGATCATCCTTTGCGATGCAAACTGGATTGTGAGTTCTGTGCTTGGCATGGCATGGATTCAAATTGCAATCATGCTCAATGGGAACTTCGAAGATTTCAACGTTGCCCCCACATGAAAAAGTGCGATTGGGTTGGGTGTAACTGGCATGGCAAAATGCTGGTTGAGAAACTGCGGAGAGGCGATGCCTTCCGGCACGCGATGAGTACTGGTCGAAGGGTTAATCACTGCAACCATCATCAGAGCGCGCATCAGGCAAACTGCAGCCGAGCCAGAGGAAGATGGTTTTCCCCCTTTGTCCTTGAGACTCTGTGAGCCCCTCGAGGAATTAGAACCTCGGCTTGACGACCTGGAGCGGTCGCCCTTCTTCTTGTTCTTCTTCTTCTTCTTCCTCTTCTTCTTCTTCTTCTTCTTCTTGTTCTTGTTCTGGCTCTTTCCACGCTTGTCATCTTTAGCAGATGGAGCTGCAGGCTTTGGTGGGTGTTGGAAAGCACATTCATTGCCACGCTGGCACTTACCTGCCTTCCAAAACTTACACACTTGATTCCTAGATCCAGGAGACAAAGAACGACTAGTGCCTCTTGATTTGGACCTGGATTTGCCTTTCTTGCCTCCGCCTTTTCCTTTGTCTGACTTTTCATGCTTATAACGGCAATCCTTCCCTCGGGTGCACTTGCCAGCCTGGAAGTCGTAGCAAATGCCCTGAGGTTTGCCCGCGGACAGCGGTCTGTTGGGCGCTGGGGCGGCGTCTCTCTTGATTGAAACCGACTTCTTCGTTGCCTGTCGCATCTTTTCAAGACGCTTTCTCTCGAGGTAATCCCGTGCGGCTTTCATGAGAAACTCATAAGAGCGGTTGGGTTCCCCCTCCGGTGTGCGATCGTACACAGCCAGATCATGAGAAAGAGGCTTGAAGTTCTTGATGGCATTGTGAAAGTACGCTTGCTTCCACATGGTGTCAGGCTCGGAAGTCATTCCAGCGATCACGGCATCCCATCTGGTGATGAAACCCCTTAGATCGTCATTGACTAAGGTAACAGCCATTCGATCTTCAATGTCATACACTGCACCATGCTTTCTGCTTGTGCTGAAATGTTTATGGATCATGAGCAATGCTTGACGTCCTCTGGCTGGTGTCCCCGACTTGGCCTGCTCTTCCTTGAAAATGTCAAGTTGCCGTGCAAAGTCCCCTTCGCAGATGTTGGTGAGCGAAGACATGAGCTTTGCGTCGAGGGTCACAAATTTACCTGAGTCCTTCAAGGCTTCGACGGACTGATCCGTCTTGAAAACTTCTTCAGCCCACTGAAAAGCTAGATCAGGTTTAGCCGAAGCTGCTATTACGGTATCCCTTACACGGATTCTCCAATTCCTATCATTTTCAAGTTGAGGAAACTTAGGTACTAGCACCCGATCAGACTCTTTGGCCTTATTATCAGATGTCCTAGAATGCTCTAAGGCTTTCTTAACCTTACGTGCAAAGGAACTCTCAGAATCCGAACTGGACGTGGTAGGCGATGAAGACGATGAAGGCCAAGAGGATGGATCCCGACGTCGTCGTCGCCTGGATCGGCCTCGACTGGTCTTGCGACCTTTCTTCTTGTCCTTCTTGTCTTTTCGACCTCGTCTGTCATTGAAGTCGTCGTCATCATCATCGTCCGGAGGTCCTCCACCAGGAAGTCCTGGCGGATTGAAGGGCTCTGCCATGAAGTGCTCGTCATCTGTGTCAGATGAGTGCTTGCCTTCCTGCCACCTGCATCAAGTTCTCCAATGATGGGTCTTGAAGGCTGGGATGTATGCGGATTGGGTCCCCCTGGTCCATAGTGAATTTCAAGTCCAGGAGTTCCCTCCAGAGGTTGAGACTTCAAACTTCGAATCAACTCCTTTTGCTCAGTCCGAAGCTTTTCAATCTCCGCCTCAAAATCTCGTTTCTGAGACTCGGCCAACCTCTTCATGTTCAGTGCATGCTGGTTCATGGCATCCATCTGAGTGCGATACTCTGCAAGTTCTGAACGAGCTGCTTGCAAATCAGCATTGGACTTGTCTACAGACGTTGACATAAGACCTGCATTGTTAACGACATGACTAAGTTCGGCACTCAATTCCTTGCTGCGATGATCCTTTGCTTGAACATGCAATTGAGCAGCTTTGTGCTCACTCATCGCTGGCAGCTTGCTCATTCAACAAAAGGTTCTTCTTGGAAATCTCGTCGGCTGCTCTCTGCTCGATGCTTGCAAGCTGATCTCGAGCTTCGCTCACAAGCGTCTCCCTTTGACGTTCCATGGCCTCGGAGTGAAGCGTATTAGCCTCACTCTGCAAAACTTGCTGCTGGGCAGCCATTAACTGATTGGCCAGGTTCGGATCGAGACCTTGTTGTACCACTGCCACGTGGGCGGTACGCTGATCAACACTGTTGAAGTTGATGGTATTCAACTGACTGATGTCGATGTGCGAATCCAAAACTCCTGGCATGTCACGGCGTGGATCATTTCGGCATGGGTCAAAGTCATCTTCCAAGTAGCTCATTTCGCCCTCTGCTGTTGCTGCACCTGAGTGGATCACCATCTCCTCCGGTTGTGTCGCACCTGCAAGTGCCAGTGCAGCCGTGGCGTTCCCGCCCGGGGCAGGCAACGCAACGCTGGGGGTGTGGCCATTGCGAATGCGGGGAGGAATGTGAAAAGTGTGAGACGAAGGAAATCAACCAATCACCTTTGGCGATACGGCTGATAACCTGTAGAAACAAGTTAAAAGTCACAAACAACCACAAAAGTATGCCCTGCAGAATGCACTGTTTCTTGAGCCATTGCCACACGGTAATGTGAGCGAAAAGACTAATACATGTACAAGGACTGTGCAACAACATTATGTATGTGCAAATCTGTATAAATCCATCAAATCCATAACGAATACCAGTGACATACCCGGTATGGCCCAAGTCTCAAAGGCCAGGACGCGATCTGCGCTTTGATACTTGAAGCGCCCCGATGCATCAAGCTGACTTGGACAGAACACGCCGTCAAAAGGGCTCACCAAGTCCGGCACCTCCAATTGCGGAATCGAGCTGTACAAGGTCCATTTGGATTCCTTGAAGCAATTATGACCCAATGACCCAATAAAAACATATGACATAAGAATTATAAAAAGTGTTGTGGCCTTCCCCTTGTTTCATCATTTTCTCAATGTTGGCTCTCTTATATGAATTCCTTTTGCTTTGCAGCAGGTTGCTGTTGAACATGTATTGATTGTGGTTGTTTCTCCGCTAATGTCACTTTCCAGTGTACCAATTGGCTCATTGTTCTAATATATTTTCCGAACTTTTCTCCTTACTTCTGGAAGCATGTGCCCATATCCTAACACTTTTGGCTTCCTTTCTCCTGGTTTTTGTTGAGGCTCTTGAGATGACTCATGCTTCCAAATGCCTCATGGAAGCATTCGATGTAGAGAAATCACACATTTGTGATGGTAAAAAGATGCAATCCAACATTGTTGAAGGCCAAAATGATTCAGTGATTCAAGCAACAGAATGTGGAAATTGCCGATTTGCAGCGACGCACCTGGCCACGCGGATCCATAGTGACCGGAGCACCACCTGCTTTGCAGCACTTGTAGCGGATACGCTGCCATCTGCCACCTGCACAGGGAGAAAGCACAGCGAAAGCATGTCAATCTATGTGAAGAAATGAGAGGTTAAAGAGTTGTCAATGTATGTAGTCCTTGTAGATTTTTGCTGGTGTGTGTGCACAGTATTTCACCATGTCTGCCAGCCTTCAGAAAACTCAAAGTGAAAGCCGCCGAGCACAGAGTTTTCTCCACAATTTGCTTGGAGCATGCGCATTGGTTTCTCCCAGTAGGCCTTCGCCTCGTGGAAATGTGGCACCTCAACCTCAAGGAGAACAGTAGTGAAATGCATGTGAAACGATGTGAAATGTCGTAATATCAGTCCAGCTCAATGCTCTCCCCTCTTTCCCTAGATTTGTAACATCCGGTAACCTAATCAAAAACCGGTCATCCAAGCAGTTCGATGCATTTCGCACCTGTGCGCTGTAGTAGTCAAAGCAAGAGCCCAAGCCACCAATCTTACTGCATTCGAACTTGTACTTCTGTTTTCCCGAGTCCAGTTTGAAGGCGGTAAGGGCTTCGCCAGATTCACATTCCACGGGATTGTCAGCAAGCATTTTGTACCTTGGTGGTTTGTTGAAACGCTGCTAAAAGTGTGATTTTTTGTACGATAAACGGTAAACCAGTAAACGGTAAACCCATCTAATCTCAAAAAGGGGAGGGGAAAAAAAGGAAACTAATGGTATGGCTACAATCTATCCAGGTGCCAATTCGGCCAGTTGCTGGAAGTCTTGTCTCGGACAATTTCTGTGTCAACAAAGCTGCCGAAGTTCACCAAAGGAGCAAACTTGCATTTGGTGGTGATGTGATTTGCGTCACCAACAAAGATCTGACCAAAATCCAAGTTGGTCAAGGCTCCACTGGTGCCACAGTAGGAGGAATAAGCTTTGTGAAAGTCATGACTCCGTTCATCCGCCTTGACATGCAAAGCCCAAATGTCCGAAGGAATTTCAGCCGGCGAAAGCAGTTGCTTCTCGTCCGTCTGGTTGCATTGATGATGGATGAGACCTGGTAGAGAAGACCCCCTGGCGCTCAAACATTCACCATTCCCAGAGAAAGTCATATCACTGGGGATAATTCGCAAGTGTCTGTTGGTAGGCGTTGACAAGGAGTTGACTTGTGCGAGCAAATTGGCGGAACAACCAGCGCTGGCGACAACCGTCATTTCTGCCGCATCTACCTCCGATGGCTGTAAGCAATGCTTGTGCTTGGCTACTGCACTGAGTTCAGTGATCATGCCGAGCTCGGTGTACACACTCAAAGCCATGCGGTTGAAAAAGTACAGCTCCTGGCTGGCATAGCATTCCAAACCCAGGAGCGATCTTTAATCACTAGCCTTTAGCATCTGCTTCCCTACGGACAGCATGTGAAGTGTGAGATGTACTAAAGGAAGGAGGAGGAAAACGAGTCTGGAAGTCACATCATTTGGCACATGCATTGGTTCGCAGGTTTCACTGTTTCTTTGCACTTGTGAGTGTGTAAGGGTCAATTATGCGTATATGAATATATGTGTGCGTGGGTGCATATATATATATATACCAGTAGTACCCGCACGAGGCGGGGCGGAAGTTGCCTTAAAGATATATATAGGACCTTTCTCATCTATAGAACTTGCATGCGCCGTGCGCCAGCGAAGCCCGTGCGTGCGTGCACTCTGCGAAACTGGTGTCTTGTTTCACATGTCACATTTGAAGCTCCACGTCACACTTCACACTTGACAGTCTTCACACTTCACACTGCGCACTTCACTCTTCACACTGCACTCTTCACACTGCACCCTTCGCAGTCAACACTTCACTTCACACTGTGCTCTTAAGACTCCACACTTCACACTTCACACTCCACACTTCACACTTCACACTGCACTCTTCGCACTCCAAACTTCACACTTCACAGTCCACACTTCACACTTCTCACTTCTCACTGCTTGCTTCACACTCCAAACTTCACACTTCACACTTCACACTGCACTCTTCACACCCCACACTTCATCTCATCTGAGCTCTTCTCACCTTATCCCAGCTCAGCTCTTCTCATCTCATCTCTTCTCATATGTCATCTAAGCTTTCATGAATCACTTGCCAGTACTACTACAAAGGAACTTGCATGCGCAGTGCGCCAGCCAGGCCTGTGCGTGCGTGCTTTGTGCGAAGCTGTTGCAATGTTGTTGTCCAAGAACATGGCCTGCGCGCATCCCCGGTGCAATGCAACGTCAAGCAAGCACTTTCCTCACACGTCACATTGCACCCTTCACACTTCACACCTGAGCTCTTTTCATCTGGTTTCATGTCTTCCCATATGTCAGCTACGTTCTTCTTGGCTATTTTCATGTCATCTGAGCGCAGCTCAAACTTTCTCATGCGCTGGAGCTACTTTCAACTTATCTCGGCGCTTGTGCACGTCAGCAAGGTTGAGCGTAACTCATGTCGATTCTTCTGCATGCCAAAAGGCGTAGACCATAAAATATTTACAATATTGATGTCATTAATGCCAAGCGTTGATGCATTGCATCAAATCGCAATGGCAAGTGTAAACATGGTGTAGTTGTTACCTGTCAAGGAGATTCACGCAGTCCAAGCTCGACAGCTGCTTTTTTCTCTGCGCTACACTTGGTCGTCTAGGCTTTTGGCAGCTTTTTCGGCGTGCACTTAGCGTGCACTGCAAACATGGCTACGATGCATTGCTGGGCTTGACCTTTTCAACATGCCTGGTAAACATGCCCCACGAGCTCGCATGTGCAAAGGCATTGCTGAAACATGGCTGACAAACATGGCAGGAGCACCAATCGGATACGATGCGAGCGCGGCCCGCACTGGCTCGCGCAAGCAAAGGCATTGCTGGGCTTGACCTAAACATGCCTGCAGTTATGGCCCTTTACCAGTTATAAGTACTTATAACCCCATTTAATTATAGAACATATATACTTAATCCCATTTATTACCAGTTATAAGTTATAACTGATAAATGGCCATAACTGTCATAAACATGCCGGGAGCACCGATACGATGCACACACGGCCACCACGGGCTCGCATGTGCAAAGGCATTGCTGAAACATGGCTGACAAACATGGCAGGAGCACCAATCGAATACGATGCAAGCGCGGCCCGCACTGGCTCGCGCAAGCAAAGGCATTGCTGGGCGTGACGTAAACATGCCTGGTAAACATGCCGGGAGCACCGATACGATGCACACACGGCCACCAGGAGCTCGCATGCGCTTAAAGGCATTGCTGAAACATGGCTGACAGACATGGCAGGAGCACCAATCGGATACGATGCCAGCGCGGCCCGCACTGGCTCGCGCAAGCAAAGGCATTGCTGGGCATGACTTAAACATGCTTGGTAAACATGCCGGGAGCACCGATACGATGCACACACGGCCACCACGAGCTCGCATGCGCTTAAAGGCATTGCTGAAACATGGCTGACAAACATGGCAGGAGCACCAATCGGATACGATGCCAGCGCGGCCCGCACTGGCTCGCGCAAGCAAAGGCATTGCTGGGCATGACTTAAACATGCTTGGTAAACATGCCGGGAGCACCGATACGATGCACACACGGCCACCACGGGCTCGCATGTGCAAAGGCATTGCTGAAACATGGCTGACAAACATGGCAGGAGCACCAATCGGATACGATGCAAGCGCGGCCCGCACTGGCTCGCGCAAGCAAAGGCATTGCCGGGCTTGACTTAAACATGCTTGGTAAACATGCCGGGAGCACCGATACGATGCACACACGGCCACCACGAGCTCGCATGTGCAAAGGCCTTGCTGAAACATGGTTGACAAACATGGCAGGAGCATGCAGGAGCACCAATCGAATACGATGCAAGCGTGGCCCGCACTGACAAACATGCTTGCGGTTTGGGTCTTTCGGGCAACGACGAATCAACAGCATCTTCATGTCGCCCACCACGGCCGGAATCTGACGCACATACTGTGGTCCATTTTGAAACAAATTGCCAACGTGGCCGCGCAGCTCGCACTGCCCAGTGGCATGCAAAGTGAAGATCCGCACAATGTGTTGAATCGGCGACAGCAGTTCCTCTTCAAAGAACGTCAAAGCATCCGTTTCTGGCAACGTGTCGCCAGGATCTGCAAAGTTCTCGGCAGTCAATCGAAATGGCTCCTTCGGCAAGCCATCTTGCGCTCGCTTTTTGGCTTCTTTTAAGCACATATCACAGATCGGTCTCTCGGGCTCAAGCCAATCTTTTTTCGGCATTTGCACAAAATTCGTTTTTTGGTAAGTTTGCGTTTCAAACTTCCCAGGCAACTGTGCTTTCGTCCGCTTGGTGCCAAACCATCCTTCGTGACAATACGAGCAGTCTTGAAATTCAAGCTCGTTCAAAAAAGTATCGACTTCATTGACACGATGGAAAAAAGCCATGGTGCGGCTTTCGGCATCTGCGGAATTTCCGTACAGTTGTCGCAAACTCTTCGGCAACCTGGGCCGTGGCAAGTTATCTCCCAAGACTGTCTCCCGGCTATGCAACTTGGCTTCATGCGATTTCTTCAGCGGCACAGTGGCTGATGCTGGCAAGAGCTGTCCTAGGGCATTTCTCACCATCTCTTTCGTCTCCTCTGTCAGACTCGGAAACGTGCGTTGCATGAAGTCATAACAACAACGAAGTTCGGCATCTCCTTTCATGGCGTGCACTGCAAACAAGGATTCAACACTTGCTGCAGCAAACGATTGCAACTCAGCCTTTCTTCGATCGAGGATCTGCAGGAACTTGTCTACCGAACCAGCCGGTGGAACACACAACAATGCTTCCCATTCCTGCAACTTAGCCTTCATATCTTCATCAAGCTTTTCATAGCTCCGTCGCCAAAAATTTCGGCCAAATATGTATTCTTTGTTACCTGTGCGCCCTGCCACACGCATGAGTTCAAGTAACGTCGACTTTTGCATAGCTTTCAACTCATCTCTGTTATCTTCAAGCATTTTCATAAAACGATCAAACTGTTGCTGCACGGGACTATCATCCACACATATGCGTTCCTCCAGCTCCTTCCACTTTTCCTTTTCTTGCTCATTGAAAGTCTCATGTCGATGCCTTAATGCAAAACCACGACAAACTTGTCCCCAAACACGATTCTCTCTCGCGGCAACACTTAAGCAGACCTCTTCCAACGCAGGTTTTCGCAAAGCTCTCATCGCATCTACATGCTGTTCGGCTATGCTGCAAAACTTTTCAAAAGCGGGTCGCAGTCCCGCAGCTTCTTGCACGCAATTTGTTCTTTCCCATTCTGCAAGCACGCGTCTTTGCTCTGGCGACATCTTCTTCTCGAGAGCAAGGTACATCTTGTAATGCCTCCATCGTTCAATATTTCCGTCACGTTTGCGACTTCCTTGTCCGGTCAATAAACATTCTTTCAAACTCTTGCATCGCAGAAGCTTCAATGTCTCTGTTTCCTTCTCGACATATGACAGCACCTGCGCAAAAGCATCCGGTTCCACCATGGCTGCCGGACGTGTCCGTGAGCAGGCCGCACTGCCGTGCCCAGAAATTGCGCGCCGCGCGCTCGCAAGTCCGGGCCGCACTGCCGCGGAAATTGCTCATGCACGAACTATATTCCTTTGGAGAAGTCCGATCGAGAAATGAGTTAACACATGATACATACATCAGCATTTGCCTGTGACAATCTTTGAAAGTCATGCCGTTGCTTCATTTCTGTGCTGTTGATGCATGAGTATCATCACATGTCTGCTTGCTTCATTGACATGACAAATAGTAGAACAACTTGAGCCAGATGCCACAGCTTCACATCGTGTCTTGTCATCATACCTTTTTTTTGGCAATTTCCATGAAACCTCCTTTTCCAGGACACTTCTGAAAAGCATGTTTGTACAAAAAATATCTAAAAGCAATCCACGTATCACATGCCAGCCAGCATCCATGCAAGGCCAAAAACATCTAAAATGAGTTCGCACACGCATTCGCTGAACGCCTTTTGAAAATGTTCATGACAAAACAACAATGAACGAATGCAACTAGGGGCAACAAGTTGGTCGACCCACGTCCCTTTCGAAAGCAGCGAAACCCAAAACATATTTTTCTCTGCCACGATGCTCTCTCAAGCGATCCCTTAGCACACACTGACGCAGACAAACTTTGCGTCACCAGACAACAAACTCCATGTCCCTTGCCAGAAAGTCCATGCCTTGCTTCGACGCAGCCCGCACTGGCATGCCTTGATGCAGCCGTTCCAATACGATTTACGATCTTCAGCTGCAAAAGCCAATAGTATTACGCATGCAGCCGCTGCGCCAAGCAACCTT